GTCTTACTCAGTTGCCCAGCCTGGAGTGCAGTGGTGTCATCATAGCTCAGTATAATCTCAAACTCCTGAGGTCAAGTGATCCTCTTGCCTCAGCCTTCCAAGTAACTGGGACTACAAGTACCTGCCACCACACCTGGCTAATTTGTCTATTTTAGTAGAGATGGGGTCTTGTTGATCTTAAACTCCTGAGCTGAAGCAATCCTCCTGTCTCAGCTTCCCAGAGTGCTAGGATTACAGGCATGAGCCACCACACCCGGCCTGGATGTACACCCTAAACTATGCCGCTATGTCTGGGGTGCATGCTTGTTTGTGTTCCTAAGGGTGTGCGTACATACATGTTATTCTTTCCTCCATGAGTAGTGTTTGGGGGGGGGGGGTAGCAATGCCTCTTGAGAAGCACTGCTTTAGGCTTTGCGGATTACCAACACCCCAGGTGAATTAACTTAGCAAACATGGTCCATAAAAACTAGATGTGAGTTGGAAGAAAGAGAAAATAGAAAGAAAGTTCTAAGGAGAGCGAAAGGTGAAGTGGGGACAACAAAGGCAGCTTGACGTGGCATTTCAGACAAGGATGCTGTCCAGAGAAGGGAAGCGGGGGCCCGGGCACGTCCAGGTACCCAGCCCTGAGGACGCACCACTGTCTTCTCCCCGAGGTTACCCTGAACAATCACTCCCCAGGCTGCCACAGGCCCTGCTGAGCAGTTTGTGAATAAAAGGGAAACACAGTTGCCAAACAACAGCTAAGATAGTTTCTGGTAGTTTTTCAAGTAATATCACCATAATAAAATCTTTTTCTTTCCCTAGGATTTCACTACCATAGACTCCTAAGTCCCTCTGTGTGCCCCAGTTATTAATAGCTCCAACTGCCACACTCCACTGAGACTCAAGATGGGGACCCCCAGAACTAATAGACTCAACCTTTATTTGGAAGGCTTATTTCCCCTACGTATTTTGTCTGTTATGTAAAAACTCACGACAATGGAGGATGTGTTAGATCTGCGGGCACAACAGAATGACGAGAGGCGCAAGGCACAGAGATGACCACAGCAGGGACAGAGGCTTAGAATAGAGAACACCGATCAAACCCCCGACCCCCAGGGCACTACCTGTCTCACGAACTCCGGGAAGCTGAGGATGGGCCCGTTGTGGAAGGCTGGGTAGTAAAAAACATAGGCCAGCAACCAGGGGAAGGAGCAGGAGGCGCGCTCAGCCGGCAGCTGCCGCCAGCAGAACTCCAGGCTGAAGCTGGTGTAGTACAGGCAGCGGACGGTCAGCGTGAACTGCAGCAAGTAGTACTGGTCCTCCGTCTCGTACCACCTCCTCTGCAAAATCAGAAGGAGAGCCACCTCTGAGCCTCGAGAGGGCCTCCCCATGCAGGGGCTGGCCAGCGTGATCACCTTTATCTGAGCTGCCCGGGCCCTGGGAAGGGGCCCTCTTCCCCAGGTGCAGCAGCTGTGCCATAAACAGAGTCAGGAGCCAGTGAACACCAGGTAAATCTCATTGCTAATCAAAGCTAAAATTTAATGACCAGTGGAAAAAAGACCGTCTGCATCATAAACTTAGCATCAGACCTGACCCAACAGAGGGAATTTTTTCTGGATCTATTAGCCACACCCAGTGGACATTAGCTACATCCAATGGATACTCTGACAGCTCCATGACAGAGAGACTTAAAATGTCACACAGGATTCCTGTCTTCAATCTATTTCTCTTTTGGCTTTTCTGTTAATTTGGCTCCACATTTTAGTT